TTGTATGTGACTTAAAAAGCAACAGCTTAATAAAACACTTCATGTGTTTTCTACTTAACTTTCATATTCATCTATTTTTGTATGTGTCTGTGGAAGATAACATTAGATCTGTGATGATATATTGGTAAATTGTATATCTATTCTCTTTGCTACGCCCGCCATGGTAGTGCGAGTGGAGTAAGAAAATAACTACTAACTTCTTAACTTTGTACATGTCAATAAATGATATGTTTGTATGGGAAAAATCATTACCCTTTGGGGATAAGCTGGTCTATCTCAGGCAGAACCAATATCATGGAATCAGGGTTTTCCAAAAGTCACGAATGGTTCTTGTGCCCGTTCCAATTTTTGCTTTTCTCAATCTATTTCTATTTACTATACTACATTTAGTTTAGTACTTTTGTACTTCACATTCTAATTCAATCTTTAGTAATAGAAGTTCAAGTCAGGGAGGTAGTTCTCCATCTATGTCAATACATTACTGAAAAAGGTGTGAATTGCAGCTCAGAATATGATTAAGTTCTCTTCTAGTCTGTGAGACAGAGATAATGCTATACTCTTGGCTATGAAAAAAAGTATTTCTGATGTGTCTAATGACCCCTTGCATTGTACATTTTCATATTACAAAGTAATGAATGAAATTGATGAAGCCTAGACTTCAGAATAAGATTCTGTAACTTATTTATGAACCATAACAATGTCGGCACTTCAGTTACATTTTACATGTAATAATTGATTACTAGCTCCAGCGAATGCCGAAACATCTAGAGTGTCACATTTGGATCAATTGCGGTAATGGGGGTCACCCGTTTAATTGGCGGGCACGTGGTTGGACACGAAGAGAGAATGTCACAGGTGGACCAACTACTTGGTAAGTAGTTTCCTCAAGGTTTTTTTCCCCCACCTGTGACATCACCTTTACAGTTGCCCACCCATCATGCCTGCTTGTGTGGACAGGCCCTTATAGACACCAATTAAGTGACTCAGCACCTCAAGATGCTAAGATGACCAACACCACAGAACTCGTATTGTACGAACTCCTAGGCTATAAACATATAATAGCTCAACACAGTAATTGGTGAATATTGTTAATTTTCACAAATGTAGAAAGAGGCAAGTTTCGACAAGTTTCATTTAGTTTTGTTGGAAAAACGTGCATTCCTCAGTCAGGTGGGAAAAGTACAAATGCTCTGGGTGCAGAGGAACACAAGTAAATGTATGGCCCCTAAATTAATTTCCATTATTTACCTTTGTGATGAAAGGTTCTGTAAGGCCCTGCATTTTTGAAGATTAGGAGATAAAAGAGACAATAAAATATAGATCCCTTTTTATTTTATCTTAACAAAATATTATTTACAATATGGATTTTGGAGATTCCAAAACAATTTGTAGTTCTCAGAATTCATATCCTAAAGTTTCGATGCAAACACAAAGAAAAATTTCAGCACACATCTTAAAACAGAAAAAATTTGCCAGACATAAGTGTCCTCAACCAAAACATACAGGTATAGCTAGGTTTTGCTTATGAGTAAAATGAAAATATAAAACATAGTTTGCATTCACAACTTTCTTTGCTGGAAAATGACATAAGCCAAAACAAAATACTTTCAAACAAAGTAACCTATATTTACAGTTGTGTGGAAGCATTTATCTCTCTTTTAAAATTTGCATAATTGTAAATGTTATAATGCCACTCTACTGTCTCATTATAAGTACATATGTACAATTAACTGTCAAAAAATGCATCTTCCACAGAATCTTATAAAAGAACGAAAGTGTTAGAAAACCAAGCCAAATTTCCCTCCCTCAGAATTAGTTTTACTTCAAATTTCTCAACTTCCTTATCATCCCGCTGAAATTTGCATAAAGGAGAGGAAAATTCATATCTTCCTGGATTTTGAGAAAGGTCAATACAAGTCTATAGACTTAAAAAGAAATGGAAAAAATTTCAGGTTTAACACACTTCAATGCGTCCCACAAGACTTGAATGTGACAATGCTACATGGTGTGTGCCCAAAGGATGGAAACAGATGGAGCCAGAAAGTGTAATGAACGCCAAACAGACCAACACTCACACTCTATCTCTCTACCTCTATCAGGCATCTGCAGACGCATAACATTCACATATTCTTTTTTTGATACGGGGGATATTAACCACAGCACAAATTAAATATAAATAGTATTAGCGGAAAGAATTATGTAGAACAGCTATATAGATTAGTGTAGAAAAACTGAAGAGCTTGTGAGTTTATCAAATAATGAATATTAAACCTACAAAAGACAACTACAACAATACACAGTGCATACTTCAATTTTTCAATCTGTTATTATTGTATAAAAATTCACATCTCTTCACCTCATCAAATAAAAAAAATATATACAGACTTGACCTCTGTACTAAGGATACTTCTATCACATTGAAGACAACTAACTCAGAATTAGGCCACTTAAAAGTCAACAATCCAACCTCACAACACACAGATAGTATCACTATCACTGACATCTTGAATGCAATTTATACTGTGCAAGTGGCCATGGGGTGTGGCGCATCATACACAGGAGAACAATTTGACTGATGTCTCCAAACACGAGTCAGCTTATAAACTAAAAATTGAAAAATTACAAGTTCATCTAAACTTTTAAACTAACATTAAATAATTTCAGAGTGAGGCTACAACTTTGACACGCTACGTCCATCCTCCTCGATAACCCGAAACAAAAAGCTAATAGACTAATACCGGTATGCAAATTATCAACCTTTTCACACAAATCTGCTCATACACCTGTTTACATAACATAAATATAAAAATAAGTTAATGAGAATCACAGAAACAACCTTTATCACAAAGACCAAACACCATCAGTTGACCAGGAGAGAAATTCCAGGCTGTAATACTGAGCTCCAATTTTTGCCGGGGAATAGACATTAAATGTATCGTAATACTGAGGACACATCCTTGTGCAAATCCTAATGTTTAAAGGACCACTTACAATTCAGTAAAAGTTTCTTGTGTGTGTGTGTGTGTTTCTGTTTTATTGAACTTTTGGTGAAACATAATGTGGGCGTGGTTGTTTGTGTGTGGGAGTGGGAGTAGTATGGATGTGTGTGTATTTGTGCAATCACTCACATGAGTTTGTGTATGCATGTATGTGTGTCAGTGTTTGCATGTACTCAGCATTAGGTCCTGAGCTATTCCTAATAGTGACCCTATATGCAATATGCACACTTAACCTCATGTCACCTGGAATATGTTAATTTTAGTAACCGGTTGCAAGATTAACATCCAAACCTAAGATCCTTTGGCCACTGTTCCTCCACCAAACAAAGACTAGCAGTCTGAAGTTTCACTCATGGTCTCTCAAAAAAAAAAAAAAAATTCTCCTTTTGAAAATCCATCTTTATTCAGTTGCAAATAAAGAAATTTGATTCACATGCTAGCCTCTATAAATAACAAGTAAGTATGCACAGACATGCACACAGAAGTGTGAGTGTGAATGTGTGTTTACATATGTGTCTGTGTTTGCATTTGTGTGTGCATTCGAATGCATGTGTGTATATCTTTGTGTGTGTGTGTCTATTTATATGTGGATTTGCACAAACACACTCTTGAACTCCATGTATGCATGCAACAAAAAGTCATTATCATCTATTTTAATAGTGTATGGAAAGACTCATACAGAGACAGCATAAAATGTAAGAAAACAAAGTCAAACAAATGACATGAATCCTAAAGAAAAAAATAAAAGGAAAAGAAAAGAAAAAGTCTATTTGCATTAACCACAACTGGATAAAAGGCACTGAATGCATGGATGTAAAGGTGGATGACAATTAATATATAAGTAGATGAGTGTCAATGGAAAGAAAAAACTATTAATCATAAGTTTCTTTTCTTCCTTGCATAATATTCCATCCTTTTTACAACTCAAATTCATGAAGTGGGGGAGAGATGAGGCAGGGGTAAGGGGGGGGGGGGGGTAGGAGAGAAGGGCAACTAACCTACATCCAACCCTGTTTCCAAAAGCTAGCAGCAGATAACCCCAAACTTCTGTACATTTCGAAGTCTACAGTGCTATGTAAATTTGTGGGGAAAAGAAAGATCTTAGTTTATAGCAGCTTCCTCTTAAACACCTACAAGGCATCCAGATCTATTAATCCTTCAGTAGGTAACCTTTCTGCTGAGTTAACACCTGCCAAACTCAGTTAGGTTTCTTCCTACCACCTGTTTATATTACTACTCTCTACGACCTCAGACTAAAGAAAAAATATTTGGTAAAAAAGTGTGTATGTATGTATGTATGTATGTATGTATGAATGTATGTATGAATGTATGTATGTGTGTGTGTATGTGTGTGTGTATGTGTGTGTATGTGTGTGTATGTGTGTGTATGTGTGTGTATGTATGTATGTATGTATGTATGTATGTATGTATGTATGTATGTATGTATGTATGTATGTATGTATGTATGTATATGTATATATATGTATATGTATATGTATATGTATATGTATATATATGTATATGTATATGTATATGTATATGTATATGTATATGTATATGTATATGTATATGTATATGTATATGTATATGTATATGTATATGTATATGTATATATGTATATGTATATGTATATGTATATGTATATGTATATGTATATGTATATATATATATATATATATATATATATATATATATATATATATATATATATATATATATATATATACTTTTACATAAACAATTTTTTTATAGATCATTCAGAAAATAGCACAATCATGTTTATATATACCGTCAGCGTCAGTTTTGTAGGTTTTAGATTCTATATGGATTTTCCTATTTTTTCCAGAAGAAAATGGCAAACAACTGGTCTGTAGCTGAAAGATCATGGTATCAGGGTTTTCAAAATGCCATGAACAGTCCTTGTGTCAGTTCATGAATCATTGTAGCAGTAATGAAGTAAGATTGCCAGTCCTAAACCTAAGAACATTTTGCTATGTCTGG